AAGTTTGGCTGAGTGTGTTCCTTCTTCTGTATGTGTGTGGCGAGACAAGATGGCTGTGTTTGTGTCTTAGACCAGGAAAACTGTGAAACGCTAAGGATGGGGTCGGAACGGGGCCGGCAGCCTCTCCCCCAACCAAAACCTAAACCGACCCAAGAGTGTTTTTCACGACCTGATTGCAAGTGGGGTGGGCGTCTAGAATTGAAGACTTACATATCCCTCATGACAGAGAGAAGCTAGTAACTATGACTATGACACCAGAATGCTCACCGCCGTCCGCGCCACGCCCGCCAGTCCTGAACGCTGCCGTTTCCAAGTCGCCGCCGAAGTCCCCGAGCCTTTCCCTGAGACAGCAGAGAGCAGCGCCTGGCTGGGAAGGGAACGGTGCGGGGCGTCTCTGTGCTTTCTCGGGTTAGAGCGTTGAGCATGCTAGGGATTGAGGCCCAGCAAAACTCTGCGAGCGCTGACCTGTCCCATGGCCTAGTTGTGCCCGGCTGGCTGAGGGCCTCCTCCCCGTCCCCGCCTGCGAGGGGCTCCTTCCCTGCAGTCCCCGGCCCTTCCCAGGGCGCCCTCGTGTCCCGCCCCGCAGTTTCTGATATCCCAGGTGAGAAAGTGGCAGAGGAGCCTGGCAGAGGAGCGGGCTCTGCAGGAGCAGGGCATGGGTGGTCTCCACCCCCCTAAACCCCCCAACCCCCCCCCCCCAGCTCTCCCCAGGGCTGGAGGAGGGCTGAGAGAGAACAAAAGGCAAGCCAAGCCCCAGTCTTGCTAGTCCTTGAGCAGTTGGCTTCTCAGCACAGCTCCGCTCTGGGCCCCCTGGCTGGGGGCGGCTGGCGGTGGCGGTACCGGTACCGTCTCGGCATTGGTCTTTCCTGACCTGGGCTTGGGGGGGATCCCTGCCGGGCTGAGGCCTGTGGCCACAGGGGCTCTTGTCTGGCTTCCGCGTGGCTTCCTTGCTGACTGAGATCTCCTGGCTCTGTGCCCGGCCGCCTGAGTTAGGGGAGTGTGCACTGTAGAGCGCGCCGGGCGGGGGGCTGCCAGGCACCCCCGTCTCTCGCCCCAGCACCTGCCTCCGAGCTGTGCGGCTGTTCCTGGCCTGACTCAGCTTGGCGTGAGCCCTGTGGGGAGGCGGAAGCACAGAGCTCGGGTGCAAGGTCTTCTGGCAGCTCAGTCTCGAGGGCACATGTGCCCGTGGCCTCTCTGAGGAGCTCCCGGCTGGCTTTGTGGTCCCGGCAGCCCTTGGGGTGCAAAGGTATAGCACATGTCAGCTGCTGCCTTGCCCCTACACTGGGGCTGGTGCCTTGGCTTTTTAGCCATAGAGCCCCAAGGTCCTAAGCACTGTGCCCCGCACTGATGTTTGTTGAATGAATGCCCCCCCCCCTTTTTTTTAAGCCTGGTGATAGAAACCAGATTAGAACTGGAAATACCGGTTTAGGCACCACCTGCAGAGGGTTTCCCTGGAGCTGTGTTTCTGTGTCCACACTGCCTGAAGCCAGCCCGCACCCCTGCCCCAGGACAGGGCAGACCTTGAGCCGGACTTGTCCCTTGCGTGAGGGGAGGGCTGCTGTCTCCTGCCAGGAGTCCTCTGGTGGGACACTGAGTCCCGGGGAGGGGACCCTGGCCTCCCTGGAAAGCTAATCTCATTACTTTATAGTCCTGCTGCTTCCTGCTGCCTTCTTTTTAATTTAGAAGGACGCATTTATTAGGAAAAGGAGAAGGAAAAAGGCACCTGCGTAGTCACAGGCAGGCGAGCCTTGTGCCAGTGCAGATTCCCTGCGTCCTCAGCTCCGCCTGCGTCTTCCTCCCCTTGCTCTCGTTTCCCTGGGGCACCCGGGCCCAGACCTGGCCGGAGTGAGCACCCCGCTGCCTGCCGCAGAGGGAGAGGGCGCCTGTGTCTTCTGGGGGTTCCAGCTCTTGCAGCAGTTGTTTCTCACCTATTTCTGCAGCTGCATTTCGGTTGTCTGCTTTCCCGCACGTGTATAATTTGTTACCTAGTCGGGCCCTGTCCACTGAGTGCAGGACACACTCACGGACGTGCACATGCAGTGAACTGTCACCAACAACAGCTGGTGACATGGAGCGTCGCCCCAAGGTGCTCAGTGCCCCGCCTGCCCCTCCCTCCCGGCCGGCCTGCCTGGCTTCCAGCCGCTCAGATGACTGGTGCCTCCTCCTCATCTCGAGGAAATCAGCCAGGGTGCATTCTTGTGGGCACCTTTTAAAGTTAGCAGATGGGCCCTCTGCCCACCTGCCCAGAGTTCCTCTCGCTCCTTTGCTTTCAATTCTCCGCGAGCCTCTGGCAGGCGTGGCGTTCTCGGTGTTGGGTTTGTGCCACCAGGTAACAGAGCTTGCTTGTTTGACTGCCCCCTCTGAAGAGCCAGTCTTGTTGCGGAGGCCCGGGCCCATGGACCTCACTTCCCGGCGTCTCCCACGAACGTGCTGCTCTGCTTCCAGGGCCCCAGAGAGCAGCTCAGCTTTGCATGTGGAACCGGGGGGATTGTCCCAAGCTGGCCAGTCCCCAGCCCACTGCCCCATGAAGCCTGCCCTCAGACACGGAACCTTTCTCCTCCTAAGACTTCCCACAGAATACCAAGATTTTCTATGTGGCCATTTTCTGAAAAGAAAGCCCCTCAGTGAGGTCCCAGCTGGCTCCATCAGCTTCCCTGGGAAGCTGGTCCTGAAGGCTGGAGGTGGCACGAGGCGTGGCCTAGCTCTCAGCGTGTGGGGCGGGCAGGCGGGCGGGCAGTGGATGTGAAGACAGCAGGGTGGGCGGGCGGGGCAGGTGGGGGCTGTTCCGTAGAGTTAGCTACAGAGCCCCCCGCGGCCTCAGGACTGAGTGTGCAGCCTGCGGCTTATGCTGCTTTTTTGGTGGAGACCTTTTTGGAAAGTGGAATTTTCATTTTTTTCCTGAGCGATTGATTTAACAGAATTCTCTCCCTTTTTAGCACACCTAGTCTTCGAGCTTCTTTTTTTTTTTTTTTGGGACATTTTATTATTTATTTATTTATTTATTTATTTGTTTATACACGCACTGGGTACAGTCAGAAGCGCGGGAGGGTGAGAGAATTCACCAGAGCCAGAGCGGGGAGCAGAGCAGGCAGAAGGACCGAAATACACTGCTGAGGGGAGCAGCGGGCGGCAGGAGAGGTCTGCGCGCCCTGTGGGACCCTCCTCTGGTGGCCGGGGAGCAGCCGGGGATTGAACCGGCGCTGCAGAGGCTGCGGGCAGCTTCGCAACCCAGCGCTCAACCGCTGCGCACCGGGGAGGCCCTCTTCGAGCTTCTTGACAGAAGTGTTCAACCAGTTCGGTATTCGCTGAATGGTGCGGAGTGCCTGTCCAAAATGCTTTGAGAAAACGAGACAGTGATCTTCTTGGGGAATAGATTTTGGCCTCAACAAATGAGGGTTCATGCCTCAAGCCCGGCCTCATCTCAGAAGACGGTGTCTGGGCCCCCTGGGGCCTGAGCTGGGCCTCCCTGCGTCTGCTGCCCCTTCTCGTGGGGAGGCTGAGAGCCTGGAACTGGCCTCATGCTGGTGTCAACTCTGCCTTAGGGCACGATGTGTATGCCACGCTGCCCTTTCCTGGCTAAGAGCCAGGTGCAATCATAAACGGGACTTGAGAGAAAATGAGCTAAGAGTAGCTCTTCCAGCTGACCGTGACTGCTGTTTTGGGGTTGTGGCACAGGACCCCGGAATCAGCGGAAGCGCCTATGGCTGCTGGCTCTGCCGCCTCGGCTCTCTCACGTCTCTTCTTAGCAGGACCTGGTGCCCTCATGGTCACTGGACACTTTGTTTTATTTTTATTAGATAGCAAATATGGAGGCTTTATTGTTTCAATAACTAAGCAGCCTTAAGTGCCTACTGGGTTGTTCCTACCTGGGAGTCCTGTTCTGGAATTGAAAAATGACGCCCTTTCTGCTCCCCTGACTGTGCAGTGCTGCATCCTAATTAGAAGGTGTTTTGTTTTTTCTTTTTAAAGATTTATTTATTTATTTATTTTAAAGATGTATTTATTTTTAAACAACAGCTGGGGTACAGGCCAGATGCGTGGGAGGGTGAGAGGATTCACCAGAGACAGCGGGGAACAGAACAGGCAGACTGACGAAACACACTGCTGAGGGGAGCAGCGGGTGAGGCAGGAGAGGTCTGCTGCGCCATGTGGGATTCTTGCTGGCTGGTCGGGATTGAATCTGCTCTGCAGAGGCTGTGGACAGCTTCATAGCGCTGCGCTCAACCTGCTATGCCACTGGGGAAGCCCTAGAAGGTTTTTTTAAAAATCCTGATGCTTGGGTGACCCACCTCCAAGTGAGTCTTTGGGCCAGATCACCTGTTGCTGGCAGCACTGGGGGCACTCCCCTCTGCTCTGCAGAGCTCTCGCCATTGTCTGTGCCCCACAGAAAATCTATATGTTAGACTGTCAGTGATCAGCTATTTCTAGCACCTCAGGCGGCACATTTTAGGAGTGGAATTGCTGGATCATGCGGAAGCTCCATCGTTAGCAGGTTGAGGAATCTCCACACAGCTTTCCATAGTGGCTGGACCAGTTTGCACTCCCACCAGCCACATCCTCGCCAACATTTGTTGTTGCTGGTTCTTTTATTTTTTTTTTTTTTAAACACATGACGAAGAGTCTTTACTTTTAAATGACTGAGTACACCAAGTAATAACATGTAACAAGTTCTTGAATTCTATCTTCTAGTAATTTTGATTAAGAGAAACTAAAAGCAGATAAAACAATTATACTAGTTATTCACTGTTCTAAGCCTTAGCCAGAAAGGACTACGGTAAGGCTTGGTGCTGCTTCACACAGGTTACAAATAACTATTTACTACTTTTTCATAGATAAAGCCCGTGACCTTCAAGAAAGCATTAGGGAAAATAATATTTAATCCCTTTCTTTCTTTAAAAAAAATAACAGAACTTCTTTTTAACTGCATCTAAGAAAGAAAAAGTCAGTTTTGATATATATGTTGCTTGAGTTAATAGCATAGGAAAACAGACAATGCCTATCCATGAAATTTCTAAAAAATATGAGGTAAAAAGATGAAATCTTTGGATAAGCTCTAAATCTGTACAAAGAAGCTAGATTTGCTGTTCCTCAAAAAGTGAAGGGACCGACTATATAATATATGGAAATAATTTAATGCCTTTACAGAAGAATATAACTCAAGCCTTGCTAGAGCTTCATATTCCAGGATCTAAAATGGCATCTAAAATGCCAATCCATGGAACAGGCACTTCTTTCTTCTCCCTTATCCATTTATACGATAGTTTTGATGGATTTCTGGCTTGATATCACAGACAGAGGCCAAAAGGTTATCTAGAACTTCATCCCTGTTTTGCTGGAAGTGGGCCTGGAGGATGGTCATCTTCTCCTGGGTCTCCTTCTCCACTTCAGTGCTGCAACTGCCATGGGATCCCAGAGCCGCAGCTTCCTTGGCCTTGAATTCCTTCTCCCTCTGCAGGCGATACTGTTCAATCTCGGCCTGAGCTTCTTCTTTGGCCTGCTTCAGCCTCCGGTTCTTTCGTTTGCGAGCCTCGGACACCTTCTCGGCGGCCCGCTTCTCGGCCTGCAGGAGCTGCTGGATGCCCTGCGACTGACTGGCCATGGCGGCGGCGACTGTGAGGCCGAGGCAAGCGGCCTAAATCAGCCCGATTGTCCCCTGGGTCAGCTGACCCAGCCACCCAAGATCTGCCATTGCTGGTTCTTTTTAATATGTGCCATTCTCACTGGTGTGAGATGGTATTTCATTGTAGTTCTGATTTGCATTTCCCTGATTACAAGTGATGCTGAACACTTTTTCATATGCCTGTTGGCCATTTGCATTTCCTCTGTGGAGAAGTTCCTCCTAGAAAGGACTTTTGACAATTCTTAAGTCTTGCTAACTCCAAGTCTGGACTGTGGGGATTTGCAACAGGTGGGCTTTAAAACAATACATTAGAATGTAAATAAAGAGAGAGAAAAACTTGATTATAGAGGCAGAATTTACCCACACCTTTCCAGAATCAGTTAAAAATAGTCTTCACCAAAAATTGCCTGAAATTCAAGTGTGAGCGTTAGATGCAGTGCGAGGCCTGCTCGGAGCCTGGCAACCACTCCTGGGCTCATGCAACTCTGCCATCGCCTGAGTCTCCTTGCGGAGATGGGCCAGGCCTCTGGGCCAGTGCTCCCTGGCGATTTCGGGACTATTCAGAACTTGCCTTGGAGAATTTCTGGACAAAGATACTATGGGAAAACAGATGTCATACATATTTAATTGTACTTGAAATCGTGGTGGCTGCCTGTTTTCATGAGCTCGGTGTTTTTACCTGTTTTCATCTACAAAGCCTGAGAATGAACTAAGCAGTTTTTCTGCGTGTGGGTGGGACTGTGCCCTCCCTCCTGTGTGCCAGCGGGCACTTTTTGTCATTATCCTTGAAAAAGCGACTGCCTTCAGTAGGTGAGCTGGATGCCCAGGTCTGGGGCTACATACAGGGCTTGGAGGGGGAGAGGAATAAGGATGAGTTGGAGAAGGCTTTCTGGACAAGGTGTGATATGGAGCAGGTGTCTGATCCCTAAGTGAGGCCTGCGGAGCCCCTGCAGAGGAAGAGCAAACAGGTGCCAAGCTGAGCCTGGTGCATCTGGAGACCCACGGCAAGGTCGCAGGAGCTGGAGGGGTGGGGGGAAGGGCTGGCCAGCCTGAGCCCGCGGAAGCCGGGTCACCCCGACCATGTCTGTCGGGGCAGGGAGCGCAGATGAGTGAGACACATGGCAAGTTTTGAGCGTGCTGGCTTGAGCCAGGCTGGTGGAGGTGGTGGTGGTGCGAGGCGGCCAGCTCTGGCTCTGTCCAAGGGGCTGTTGCAGGTGGGGGTGCGCCAGGGCAGAGCGGGGATGGCGCGGCGGCTTCCATCCTGGGCAGCTGCTCACCGAGACACCGGGCAGCAGCCCACGGGGGTGGAGGAGCCAGGGCTGGCTTTGGGCAGTGCTCAGAGGCCCGAGGAGATGCAGAGCCCGCAGTGGCATGTCCTGGTCAGCGCAGGGAGGGGTCTGTGCAGAGTGGGAGGCGAAGCTGGAGGCAGCAGCCCAGGCTGGTGTTCAGGGAGCTGCGTGAGGAGGGTCCCTGGGACCCGGAGCCAGAGCGGAGAAGGCAGCTAGGGGTCTGCAGGTGCGGGAGGAGGAGGTGCCAGCGTGGGGCGGACAGAGGCTGGCAGCTGGGGGCACAGCCGAGGCCCTGCCGTGGAGAGAGGCCTGGACTCCTTCCCGGAGGCTTGGGTTTCGTGCCTGCGGAAATGGCAGAGGGGCCAGGTGCTGCCGTCTTTTCTTTTAAATCCTTTTGCATTTTCAAAAGTGATCCAGCTCATATACTCTTGGGGCAGAAAGACTAAGGAAGAAATGCAGATTTGCCAAAGAAGAACATACGCCACTCGCAGAGAGGGTGAGCTGTGGTCACGTTTATTCAAGGATTTGCGCACAGCTCTCCTCAGGAACACCCTGGCTGGCCACCCTCCGACCCCCCTGCCGTCCTGGCCTGTGCTTGGTCTCTGGCCTCTGGCCCTAGGACCGGAGAGCAGAGTGCAGAAGGCTGCTAAGGCACGTTGCTGGGGGAAGGCTGCGGGCTGAGTGTGTGCCTCCTGGGCTTTTTTCCTGGGTCGTTTGAGTAGGAAACATTTCTTAAGCCTGTTTAGTGTCTTAGATCTAAGCATCTGCTGTGGGCCCTCTGTGCCCTCGGGGGCCAGGCCTCCACCTTCCAGCCTCTCAGCACCTGAGCCAGCGGGGCAGCCCCTCTCCTGGTGGGACTGCAGGCAGCTGGCTTCTCCCTTCCTCCCCCAGCTGCAGCTCTGCCTGCCCTGCTCCCCGAGCTCCCTCTCCCTCCTCCCTGGCCCTCCTCCCCCCTTCCTGCCTCTCCTCACTCCCTGCCCTCCTCCCTACTTCTCTCTCCCCTCTTCCCTGCCCCCCTGCCCCACCCCAGCCTGTGCAGGTGTGGCCAGGTGACCTTGCCTTCCCTGGGCTGCCGGGTGAGGTCTGCCTTATCGCCTTCCCTTCCCCCAGCTCTTAGCAAGGTTTTTGGCCTTCAGAAGGTAAATGATTTTAGAATATTGAGAAAAACATATGCAATTCAATTAAAACATTATTATTTTGGCTTAACATTGTACTGAGTTTATTAGACTACATTATTTATTGACAATTTGGGGCCCAAACTATTTCTTAACCAAACTGACAAATGTTTAATGACATAGAATAGGCGCTTTTTGCCCCTCTCTGTGTGTGTGTTTGATATTATACTCGAAGTTAAGATAAAAGTTTCTCAGTAATTCTATGGTAATTGGTATTTTGCCATAAATGGAAATGTCTTCTTTTTTCTTCCTGTGACCTGGTGGCTGGAAATGTTTATCGGGCAGGGGGCCTCTTGAAGAGGGCCTGTTGGGAGGCTGAACCTCGCAGGTGCCTGTCTTGTGTTCTTGGAGTTTTCAGGGGCTCTTTGGTGGCGGCTGGTGAGTTCTGCTTGCCGGAGGGACTTTTGCCCTGTGGGCTGCGGGGAGACAGCAGGCGCCCGCACCCACTCATGCTGGTCACGTAAATGTCCCATAGCTTCCCCAGGCAGTAGGTCAGCCACGCTTGCCCATCCTACAGACGGGGGACTGAGGCTTGGACGTCAAAACCTGTCACTAGCCCGCACACTTTCTCTCCTGCTCTCCCTGTTTACGGGGGACTTCCGCGGGGAGGTGTGTGCCTGGCCTTAGCCCGTTCGTCAGTTCCAGGTTGCTGCTTGATACGCGTTCCCTGTTCATTTTTCAAATTACTGGATAGTCCTTCAAGTTAAGTAAACTTTATTTATTTATTTATTTATTTATTTATTTATTTATTTTTGCTATTTTTGAGTCCTGCATCAAGTGTTACTACCATAGTAGGGTGTCTTTTTTAAAAATGTGATAGGATCCATACAAAGTAAGCCAAGTAAAGCACAGCAAATTTATAAAAACCACACATTACATTTGAATATACTGCCAACAAGAAATAAATGGTTTCAGTTTTTTTTTTAAGATGTTGCCAATACTTTCAATGAGAAACTAACTTGAATTTAAGGGGAGTTAGTAAATATATTTTTTTTCAATGTATTCAGAAAAGGTTAAGTAAACTTTAAAAGAAAATAAAATCACGGTCGTGTCAGCTCCATCGTCAGTTTGTCCTGCCGGGTCCAGCCGTCTGTGCCTTCTGCAGAGCAGCATGCTCTGGATCCCACCTGGACCTCTGCAGGAAATGCAGTCGTTTCTTGAGAAAGTGGCGTCACAGCTGAGGGCTTAGAGGCCCAGTCCCTGTCTGGTTTGCTGGCTTTTTCTGACTTCAAAGGCATTCATTGACTGAGCTGCTTCAAGCACCCATTTCCTGAAGGCTCTGCTGGGTGTGACATCTGGTGGGGGTTCCTCACCTTATAAGGTGTGGACTCTTACCCGGATGTGCCACTTTTATGGAGCAGAAGTCACTGTTCCTGCAGTGTGAGGAGTGACTCAGGGGCCCCCAGATGGTCACTCCAGGACTCCCTGCCCTTTGTAAATGATCTCTCCCTGCCTCGAAGCCACGGCTGCTTCCGGGCCTGTCCCTAGGAGTTAGGTGGACCCTGCGCTGGTTGTGCCTCTGTTACAGGGCAGGGAGAGGGGCAGCCCAGACCCTGCAAACCTGCCTGTTCTAAATAGGTTCTGCCATCTGCCGCATCAACACAAAACATATGAGACTTTAATGGGAAGGAACTTTAATACAACTAGTAAACAGTACAGGAAAGGGAAAGAATCTAGTTTCTAAATGAAGCACCCACAGTTACCCGTCCCCTCATGGGTAAAAGTCCATCCAAATGGGATTGGCCCAGAGCAAGGCCCCAAAGCCTGCCCCAAGTCTAAGGCATCTTCCCGTGGGGACCCACAGAAAAGGGTCAGAAACAACCAGACAAGCCCGGAAGGAAAAGAGAAAATCAACATCAAGGTAAAAGCTGCCATTGTCACCTCCCCACGGGTCTCACCCACGTCTGTGTCACTCAGTCCATGACCAAAAGGCAGGCGCAGTCTCTCCACGTGTCTCTCGGCTCCATGCGCCTCCTCCAGGGCTCCTTCTGGCTCCATCCTGCTTCCTTCCTTCCTCAGTCTCCTCTGCAGCTTTTTCTCTCTCTGCTCAGCTTCACCCTCCATTTGGGTGGGGCAGGGAACCTGGAACCTCCCCCTTTTCTGGGGACCCCCCGTTACACCTCCTCCTCTACCCTGGGCACTCCCCTGCGCGAGCACCCTGGGCCCTCCTGGGGCTTCCGTTGGCTCCTGGCCCCTGCCCTGTGTTGAAAGAGCTGGCACGTCAGTCAAGCCCTGGCAAGGGGGACAGCCCCTATCCCTCTGACTGTGAAGGACACTGGAGGCCCCCAGGCTGGCACCATGCCAGGGCCCAGACCCTTGCCTTTCATCCTCCAGCCCTCAAGGCAGATCGGATTCCCTTCGCAGATAAGCAGAGCCAGATAAGCAGAGCCTAAGTGTCGCCTGCAGGGCTTGTGACGGCCCTTTCAGAGAGCCCTGTGCACGCATCCCGCATCCTGCTTTCCGTGTTCTTTGGTCTCTCTCTGGCCTTCTCTAGTTTTCAGATGCGTGACTTTCGCCCCTCAGCTGGGGCTGCAGCCCCACTAGGGACTCAGGGAGGCTGGGGGGGAGAGGCTCCAAAAGTGC